AAACAAAGTTACCATATGACCCAACAGTGAGCAGTTCTATTCCTAGGTAGATAACAAAGAGACCTGAAAATATATGCTCATAAAACATCAGGTGTGAGTGTCCATAGCAGCAAGATTCACAATAGCCCCACAGTGGAAGGACCCCAAGTGTCCGTCACTGGTAGATGGATAAACAAAGTGGACTAAGAGATGAAGCACGACTTGGAAGGGACACTGAAGCTCACAGATCCATGTGTCTCCAGGACTGGAGAGGAGAGGGCCAGGGGCCACAAGAGGAAGAGAAGAAAGGCATCGCCCAAGAGCGCAGTTCTGAGGCCCTGGAAAGGAAGTCCAGCAAGCAGGGTCACCAGGCAGGGGAACAGCAGGGTACAGTCCCAGAGGCAGGAAGGTCTGCTAGGGGTGCAGAGGACAGGGCCGACATCCTTCGGAGGAAGCCATAGTCTGCAGATGGCATCGTGAAAGCTCCTGACCCAGCACCGGGGCAGAGTGGGGTCTGGTTGGCAGCGGGTCCCGGCTCGCCACCTCCCGCCTTGTAGAGGAAAAGTGGACCTGAGATCTGTTGGCCTGACTTGGCCTCCGTCGTTCTTCAGAGCATTGTCCTTCTTCCAGCTTTCTCGTGGAAGCAACCAGGCGCTGGCCTGTCAGTGTAGATGGCCCAGGGCTCTGTGTCTTCCCCCAGAAAGAAATGCCACCAGGGCCCCCATGCCTGCCTGTCCACTCTGATGCCCAAATGGGCTTGGGGCGGGTGTGTGGCCTCTGCAGGGCCTAGCAGTTGGTCTCTCTGTTTCATGCCCTAATGGACCTCAGGTAGGAGAACCTCTAGCTCCCTGCGGCATTCAGCTCCGCTCTTTAAACATCTGGGTCACAGATACACTTGGCTAATTAATGTTCCTGGCTTTGCTCATTTGCTGCTGGATAATAGATTGATTCATAATTTCAATAAGCAGCTGTGTCTATCTTTCCCGTGAACGTAAAGGCAGCTTGCTGTCATTCATCACTTTGCATTTGGTGAATTTAGATATATTCAGGGGATGTTGTTTAGGGAGGGGAGGGTGGGCTTATGATTTTCTCAACATTTTGCCTGGGACAATGACTCTGATTTGAAACTAATTTGGGTGTAGAGCACACATTCGCCGCTTCTCTCTCAAGGGCACTTAATAGACTCCCTGTCACTTGTTCAAGGGGAGCAGGCAGGCTCCCTTTGGGGATCAGAGCTAAGGGTTTGTAAGTCACTTTCCCCAGGAGATGAGAATCTTCTCCACCAGAGAAGGCTCACTCATGTCCCCAAGCAGAGGTGCCTTCTCAGCCACTCTTGGGCAACAGCACCCAGGCTCTCTGAAGAGGTGAGGGTCCTCCAGCAACCTGGGATGAGGCCTCCCTCTTGCTGGTCAGCTGCTGGACCAGGGGCCACTGGGTCTCTAGGGAGCCACAGGGAGAGACCAGGACTCAGCCAGGTGACCAAATATGTTCTTGCCTCAGTTTCCTTGACTAGAAAGTGGGGACAATAATAACGTTTCTCTCACTGAGTCCTGAGTGTCACATCACCACTCCCTGTGTGGCGCTGGGAATGACTCGGGGTGCGTCTTCAACGTCTGCTGTTAATGACTGCCAGCCACCTGGCACGTGGGGTTAGGAGAGCACAGACGAGAGCTGTGCTGGCCTCCCCCGGGGGTCCTCACTGTCACCAGCCTGCGCTGCATCCTCTCAGTGAGAACACAGCCCCATCCTTCTGCTCCCAGAAGCTCGTGGCTGAGCTGGGTTTGAGGACTCCTGGAAGCATGCCCATAGAGTCCAACTGGGGGGATGTGGCTTCAGGGTTTTTCACTTCTTTTTTTATTTGTTCTTTTTAGATATACACAACAGTAGAGTGTATTTTGACATGTCATGCATACATGGAGTAGAACTTCCCATGCTGTGGAGTAACACGGGTCGTGTATTCATGCGAGGAAAGGAAAGATGGCTCCAGTCCACTCTTCTGTCCTTCCTATTCCCATCCCCCTCCCTCCCCTGCATTCCCCTTTGTCTAATCCCATGAACTTCTATTCTTCCCTACCTGCTTGTTGGTGGGTTAGCATCCGCATATCAGAGAGAACATTCGGCCTTTGGTGTTTGGGGATTGGCTTATTTCACTTAGCATGATAGTCTCCAGTTCCATCAGTTTACCGGCAAATGCTGTAGCTTCATTCTTCTTTATGTGCATATACACCACATTTTCTTTTTTTTTTTTTTTGTACTTCCTACAAGCAATTTTCTTTTTTTTTTTTTTATTGGTTGTTCAAAACATTACAGAGCTCAAGACATATCATCTTTCATACATTCGACTCAATTGGGTTTTGAACTCCCCAAATACATAATACAGACTCACTTCTGTTACATACTCACATTTTTACATAATGGCATATTAGTGACTGTTGTATTCTGCTACCTTTCCTATCCCCTACGATCCCCCCACACACATTTTCTTATTCATTCATCAGTTGAAGGGCTACCTCGTTTGGCTCCATAGCTTAGCTATTGTGAATTGAGCTGCTGTAAACATGATGTGACTACATCACTCTAGTTTGATAATTTTAAGTCCTTTGGGTACAAACCAAGAAGTGGAATAACTGGGCTAAATGATGGTTCTATTCCTAGTTTTCGGAGGAATCTCCACACTTCCTCCATAGCGGTTGCACCAATTTGCAGTCCCACCAGCAGTGTATGGGTGAACCTTTCCCCCCACATCCTTGCTAATATTTGTTGTTGCTTGTATTCTTGATGATCACCATTCTGAAGGAGTGAGATGAAATCTCAGTGTTAAGTTGCATTTCTCTAATTGCTAGAGATGATGAACATTTTTTCACATATGTGTTGACAATTTATATTTCTTCTTCTGTGAGGTGTCTATTCAGTTCCTTAGCCCATTTATTGACTGAGTTACTTGGGGTTTTTTTGGCGATAAATTTTTGAGTGCTTTATATATCCTGCAGATTAGTGCTCTATCTGAAGTTCAGGTGGCAAAGATTCTCTCCCATTCTGTAGGCTCTCTCTTCACATTCTTGATTGTTTCCTTTGCTTGAAGGAGCTTTTTAGTTTGATACCATTCCATTTATTGATTCTTGATTTTACTTCTTGGGCCTTAGGAGGTTTGTTGAAGAATTCAATTCCTAAGCTGACAGGATGGAGAGTTGGGCCTACTTTTGCTTATGACCAGCCAAAAATACTATAGCCAGCAAAATCAAGCTTCAGAATTGAATATTGAAATAAAAACATCCCACGATAAGCAAAAATTAAAAGAATTCACAACTAGAAAGCCTGCACTACAAAACATACTCAATAAAATATTTCATGAAGAAGAACTGCAAAATAAAAGTGAAAACAGCAAAGGGAAGAACTACACTAGAAGACTAGTCAATCAAAGGAGAAACTGATTCAAATTAAAAACCAGAAATAAATCAAAATGACAGGGAATAAAAATCATCTCTCAGTAATAACATGGAATGTAAATGGCCTACACTCATCAATCAAAAGACACAGACTGGCATATTGGATTGAAAAACAAGAGCCAACCATATGCTGTCTCCAGGAGCCTCCAGTTTTTCAATGATGATCCTCACCACATGGACAACCTACTCTTCTGTGAACATGCTTTTAGCACTTGCTCTGTGATTTGCTTCTGGCAAGAAATGAAATTAATTAGAGTTAGTCCCTGCCCCTCAAATGGGTGAATGCATTTTTAAAAAGTTCCATGGACAGGAAAGGCAGAGCAGGAGAAGCCTCAGCCTACGGGCCCTGTCACAGTCAGGGGTGCCAGGCATACTGTCTCTGGGTTGGTCAGCAAGTGCTACGTAACAATAGTGGCCTCTGTGTCCACAGGTCAGCTGATGGTTCTGGGATCTGGACTGGGCTTAGCTTATGTGGGCCTGGTCCAGTCATATACCCCCTCTCCTCAGCTGGCACGCTGGCTGAGGGCTGCCTGTCCAGGGGCCTCCTCCACGTTGGCTCTCGGGTGGGCCAGCAGCAAGCCAGCCAGGGCTACACCCAGGGCAGGAGAAGGGCCCTGGAGCAAGCACAGCTAAAGGCCACACACCCTTGCTTCTGCTGCAGTCCATAGGCCAAGGTGTGTCACGGGAAGAGAGGACCCGCTTCCTAATAGAAGGTGCCGTACAGCTGTGTTGGCAAGGGGGACAGAAGAAAGAGGGCCATTTCTGCAACCAACTTGCACAAAGCAACCCCCAGGATCGTGCTGCCATTTAGCAGGCCCCTGTTTAGTGTCAAACATAAACTTTTGTTCCCAATTCCGATTATTTTCTTGGAATAGATTCCTAAAAGTGGATTTATTGAATCAAAGGTGGTAAATGTTTTAAAAGCAAAAAGTACATATTTAGAAATCACCCTGTTGAAATGTTGTAAGAATTACCCTCCCTCTAGCCCTACTGCGAGAGGGGACAGTTCCTAAATTAGGCTAACACTTGCCAAAACGTGAATAATCTTTTTTAAAATGTGGTATCTCACTTGTGTTTTCACTTTTTACTTCTTCCAATGCCTGCCTATGGATTCTAATATCCATGTCTTCTTCAGTGAATTGGCTCTCTGGTCCCTTCCCAGCAGGGTAGAATTTATGAATCTCAATTTACAAAGAGGAGGACATGGGGACTCAAAAAGGCTGAATGTCTTGTTCAAGGTGACTCAGCAGCTGGAAGCAGGGCCAAGCTTCAGAAATCACATCCCTGGTCCCTCCTCATATTCCCACTCCCCTGTGGGCTGGACAGAAAGCTGGTCCTGCAACATTGAGGACTTAGAAAGCACATCAGAACGTGACTCTGGGAGAGCTGTCCCCAGGCCCAGCAAGCTGAGGGCTTCCTGGATGGGGCTGTCCTGCAAGTCGGGTGCATAGGGTGCTTGTCACAACTGAGATGGTGGTGAGGACAACAGGGTGGACAGAGGCAGAGGTGGGCTGCACTGCAGAGCCACGGTTGCCCTCCGGCCTCAAGCCACCCTCACCCCTGCTCTCTCTGCAGCTTGCACGCTACACCAAGGAAGGCTTCCTGCACCTGGGGGCCCTGGGGACCACCACGCTGCTCCCTGACACCCGCTGCCTGGTGGACAACTCCAAGAGCCGGCTGCCCCAGCTCCTGGACTGCGACAAGGTCAAGACCAGCCTCTATAAGCGCTGGAACTTCATCCAGGTGAGGGCTCCACCAACAGGACCATGGTCAGGGCAGTGCAGAGGCTGCAGGCCACAGAGAGAAGTCCAGGTCCCCAGGTCCCCAGCAAAGTGCATCCCAGAGCCAGGTCTCCCACCCCTGGCCAGGCTTGTGGACACAGGGCATGTCCCAGGAGGAGTCAGGGGGACTTCTGTGGGCAGAAGCCTGCCTGGTTCCCACGCCATGCGAGGTTGGGGATTCTGATGGACCCAGAGAGGGGAGTGTGGGAAGGACCCCTGGACCTGCCCAGTACCACGGCCAAGTAACTCTGGGGAGTCAGACCTCAAATACCCCAGGAGGTTCCTCCTCCCAATTCAGCCACCCCGATGCTCATCTCATGTCCAGCCACAGGAGCTTGGGGAGCTCACTTATGTTCTGACCTTAAGGTCTGCAGGGGACGTGCCCGTGACCCCTCTGCTGTGTGAGGGATATTGGTGGAATGTTTTCCCCATGGGGTGTGCCTGCCCAGAGCTGTGGAGGTTAAGAGTCCCTCCCTCTCTCCCTCTCCCTCCTTACCCTCCTCTCCCTCTCTCCCTCCTTT